TTTAGTCACATCAAATTCAAGTTCTGTTGTTATGACATATTGAAGAATTATAAAGAACACAAATATATGATATTATATTGGAATTTCGACTTCTCATCACCAAGTACCCCAGAAGACCCTAGTCTATAGGAAAGATAACTATAATTACCCACAATGCCTCATGATACAGCTGCGTATTTATCGATTCAAGTAGGTATTTATTGTATTAGACCTGACTTCTTGGAACTGACATGAGAACATATGAAGAAGGGAACAGAGGATGTAATCGGCGACACATCATATCTTTGTTTGAAAATTTTCCAACGCTATTATAATACAGTAAATGAATGAAAAATGTTAAAGTTGACCTGCGACATCACTAAATTGAAAACCAGTCTCTGTTTGTAAATCAACATGTACCCATGGCAACTCATATATTTTTCGAAATGCTTTGAACGAGTAGAAATCAGAGTAACTTCTGTTTGATTGTTCGACGTTTTAAGCAATAGAGAACCTCGTTAAATGCAAAACACGTCATTGTCTGTAAATCTGTTCAAACTATATCAATGAAATATTTACAGTTGTTCATGTTTCAGAAGAAATATTTTCATTTTGAAAAATATTTTATATAAATATGTAATTTTTTCCACCGAGAACGAAAGAAACACACACAAGGTCTCCCCTTTTTGTACTATACAACAATATCGGTGACTTAGAGGTCGATTCCATTTTATTTTTGTTCTGTTGACTCCGTCTTATGGTCTTACAATTTCACAAAACATGTTCATATGCATTTTCAAATTCAAGATTACCATACAAATGTTGACATAGTTACAAAAAACTGACAGAAAATGGTTTACTACGATTGACTAGAAAACCGTGGTGGACATCGACATTTTAACGTGATTGTCAGAGATATACTAAGCATATGTCATGAATTAGTTTACGCGTATCTGTTGACCGACTTAATTAGCTGATTATTAGCGAATTGCTGTGTTATGTCTGTCATCGTTTAGGCCTATTTGAAGTTTTGGACGGAACTTGGCTCAGTGATTTGGAACTAATTACGAGATAACCGTCGCTATTCTGACTACGAATTCTGACAGTTGGTACCCGTAGTTATTAATGTAGTGAACGATTAATCAAAAAATATGACGTATTCAGTGCTTAGTGTGATTGGCCTTATGATTGAAGGTTACGCCCTAGAGTCTTTTTACTGTTTTGTAATTGGTTAGAGTTTTGAAAATGAATAAAGAGAGTTTGAGTTGGTCTTAACGAGTACACCACAAGAGACGCGGTCTGAGTCCAGTCTAAGAGAGTCTTGGGTCAGCCTTGCGATAGTCTTGGGGACTTTTCCCCAGGGCGCCGTGTCTTATAGAGTGCTCGACTGACCGACTAAGACGAGAGTTGAACCGTTACGTTATTTCGCTGTGTGTGTCTTATTTGACTGTAAAGCTTAAGTGACTTTCCCGATCCCGCACCTCAAAGGGACGAGATATAGAGACGAGACGAGTTCCCCCTGACAAGTGTAGAGAACCCCAGAGGAGAAGATTTCCCCCGTGATACATACACGATGATTTCTTTGCGGAGGTGAACGAGATACCAATAGATATTTTGTATACGATGTTAAGATGACCTATAAGTCGTGTTGCAGGTCTTAGACCGTCAGCGTCAATCTATTATAATTGTCATGCTGTAACATGTCTTGAAGGTCTTTGACATCGCAGGCTCATTAGGATCCAATGTTGTCATTCACGTTTATTTTGTATAGTAGGCCTTGTGTCGACTGCTTATATCGTTCATTCTACATGCTGACACGTACGTGTGAGGTTTTATATCTACTTGTTATACAAACTAAGCAATACTCGTCCAAGTCTTAAAATATCATGGCAATATTCATCTTTACAGCTCGGCTTTCTTTTATCACTTTCTACTTTCTTCCTCTTTCTCATTAACTACAGAATTGTAAATTTGCATTTGTATCTTACGGCTTGAATTTCCTATAAAACGCACCGGAAATTAGTTTTTAAGTAAGTCGACTCAATATACGTGCGGTGACGTGTATTTATCGTGGAGATTTGTAGAAACTGGTTTCGGATATAATATCTGTGGAACATCCACACCTGCGGCTTAAATTATACTAAACATCCATATTCGACAACGACAACAATAACACTAGCTGTGATTGATAGTTCGAGCTGCAATGATATGTTGAATTACTAAGCTGTATAAAATTCACACAGCATGAATTAATGTCACTGGGGGTTATTGTTCCACATAAATACAACCATATTTACATATATATGCAAATTTAAGATCATTGTTTGGTAGCATATTCATGATTAGTGGGACAAATTCGGTAATAATCGGGTGAACGTAGTTATAAATAGCCCATCTTTCGCGGTGAGCAAATGAGAATATAGTACGTCTTTATCGACATATCTGAAATAAATTTAGCAGAGACATTTTAGTAAGAATTTTAATATTTTCGAACAAACAGTGCTTTACCTTAAAAATTCCGGTACGGGGTCGACCAAGTATAAATCTGAAGAAGTGTATTGCTTTAAGAACTGTTTCAGTGACATAGTAGTTGCCAAATCAGATCTGTTTTCTTTTTTCCCCCTCTCTACACCAACTTGGTAATTGTCCGACTCTTCCAAGTTCCAGAAGTAGTCATCTGTCCATTTTGTGAATGCACGCGATAACATTGTGGCACCTTTGAAAAGTAAGGGCTTTGAGCCAACGAACAAATTCGGCGAAAAAACGCCCAGTGTCTCTCGGCCAGCCATGGCTAACATCACAGTCAAAAACTTCATGCCTGAACCCAGCTGTCCGTCACAGTAAATTGTAGAAATCACTGTTGCATAAAGAAGCAATAATCGTACACATAACATGTTCGTCTTTATATCCATAGTGAGCTCGGATCCTGTGTTCCCATGTAACAGCGGCGTCGTCTCGCTTGTGAGTATAATTATACAAATTTGAAGTATGATTCAACTGCGAAAGGCGAAACGTTGTTATTTATATTTTTCTTTGCATCAAAGATGGTTATACTTTTTTACAGGAGGTGCCGCCACTAACTATCGGATGGATAGACGTGCTATTTAATAAAACACTCAACAGTTGATATTATGACAGCACTGTGTATTACTGAACAATGAGTTAAAATACATTTCCAATATAAAAACAAATAAACTACAATTAATAACTCTAACGGCCCCACATATGGAATAGTTGAAACCGACTGAATACATTTCCTATTTAAAAAACAATGTACTGCAGTTAATAACCTGGCCCCTCCCTACATATGGAATAGTTGAACCCGGCTGGATATATTTGCAATCTACACGCAGATACACTACATGCATATGCTGTTTACCTCGAGCACCCCTATATATAAAATAGTTTAAGCCAGCTTAGTTTCATAGCTTTGTCCCTAGGGGCCAATTTTTTTTTAAATCAGAACTCTGTAGAACGCATATATTATAGACTTATACAGACTTATACGGTGTCTGTACAAGTCTGCGTTAAGAGTGCATATTTTATATCACAATACCTAATATATTCTTCCTCCTTATACTCTTAAATTACAACTCTTGATGAAATATCTTACAAAAATGATCGCAGAAACTCAAAGAAATATTGATATTCACGGCAAATGAGGCATTAGTTATTTATACACTAAATTGAAGAGGAGTGCGATTATCACACATTTGACCAAAAAAATCTTGAAACTTTGCTAAATTATTCATTGTGACCCCAGTACAAATTTTTAGATTTATAAATCACAGATTCTCAACTGTGTGTATTCTGTCTATTTCACAATCAGAATTAATTACCGGGTGAACTATTGTTTCGACAGCAGCGGAGAGATTGCATTATACAGACAGATTTTATATCGCTTTTAATGTGATTTGCCCAAACAGTCCACCGCGATGGCGACTAAATCAGCGACAAAGATTTGCTCTCGGGATTGACTGTGATAATTCCTGAACAAGATACGATAGTCTTAGATAACTATAAATATTCATGACGTGTATATTTAAACGCCACAAAAAAGGTTCCAATTTTACCACTCAAGACGCCCCACTGACTGCCCACTGAATGCAAATAAACGCCCTTTTTGATATAAAACTCTCATTTTACTTTAATGCGTAAGTACGTGAAGCCTCTGGAATTCGCACTTTCTTGTAGCGCCAAGGCTTTCAAGTGTATTTTCATGCGATAGCGGAGATTACAAAACGTACATCCCGGGAATCCATGCTTTTAGCCGTGACGATTGATTGCAAAAGAAATTTGTAAATAACAAACCACGTGATGTGCCCGGCCAAAATAGTTACCCTACTTACAGGGCAGTTTATACTATTTATGTTATTCATTAACGGGGTCGTTTAACACCTGGAGATTCGACATTGTTTGTTTCCGTTGCTACTGATTCATTGTGTGTTTCCATTGCTACTGATTCTTTATTGTGTGTTTCCATTCCTGCTGATTCGTCATTGTGTGTTTTTATTCCTGGCGATTCATTATTGTGTGTTTCCATTCCTGCTGATTCATTATTGTGTGTTTCCATTCCTGCTGATTCGTCATTGTGTGTTTTTATTCCTGGCGAATTCATTATTGTGTGTTTCCATTCTTGCTGATTCGTTATTGTGCGTTTCCATTCCTGGTGATTCATTATTGTGTGTTTCCATTCCTGGTGATTCGTTATTGTGTGTTTCCATTCCTGATGATTCATTATTGTGTGTTTGATTCCTGGTGAATCGTTATTGTGTTTCCATTCCTGGAGATTTGTTATTGTGAGTTTCCATTCCTGGTGATTCATTATTATGTGTTTCCATTCCTGGTGATTCAGTATTGGCACGACTTGGTGGGACTAGTTCGTATAAACATAACTTAACTTAACTTTGATTGTATTATTAACAAGAGATGACTTTAGCACACATGCAGATAGTGATACTTATGATACTGCCCTCTATAGGAACAAATGTTGTTTCAGATAAATCAAATGAACAAATGACTTTTTTCATTTATATTTATTTTTATTAATTGATAGAAACTATGTATTTGTAATGATACAATAAAATTATTATAATGATTGAATTATGGAATATAGTTTATTTATCTAGGACACATGGCATGTCTTCCACCATCTACAGGTATGGACACTCCTGTGATAAATGAAGCAGCATCGGATGCCAGAAAAGCAATGGTACTGGCAACTTCATCTGGTTCACCGACTCTACCCATGGCATGGGTCGTCTTGCTTCTTTCTAAAAACTAAGAAAAAATATCCTTTTAAGATGCAATTTGAACAAATACATAATATTGTTTGATACTCCATACTGTCAACCAAATCGGATTATTATTTATCATAAATTAATAACGAAGACACACACCAGTAATCATCTGATGACTAATTAAAACAACTAATATGATGCAATTGTTATTTATTGTATGTACTAAGTAAAACAACCAGTGTAGATGCACGTTTCATTGTTTCATAAAATGAATAATTGAATTTTTGCATTTCATAATAAACTCTAATCCATGTATAATTCAATACTAAAAATGAAATGTTCTCATCCATATGCATGATTCTTTAATGTTAATAAAAATGGCGTGACTTGTATAGCCTCTGTTTATCAATAGAAAATGTGATTTACGGGAGCACTTTTACAGATGCATACATAGGAGGTCTGATAAATATATCTCAATAATTTGACGTCATGTTGTTTTATTATGCATAATACAATTGCTTTCTTAGTTATCCTGGCCTGTCTTATAACAAAGATCCTCTAGAAACTAGATAAATACAATTTTCAGAAGCCATGATATCAACTTAAGATGTATATAGCTTTGTTTATAGTTGAAACATAAACATGTTAGAGATACAAATCGATAATCTGATGCCTGATTATGATTTTTTAACATTAAAATGAGTGACATTCAGTCATCTTGTATCTGATAGTCAGATAAGTACTTGTCCATATTGAGAGATATTGCTCCGGAACAGTATTAATTAAAACAAAATTGACACTGGTCAGCCATTTTGAATACATCTGTATATCTATAACATGATGTACAATGAATATATCAAATTTGAACATAATAAGTCAAATTATGTAGGAGAAAAAGCTCTAAAACCCCATTCATTAAAACAAAATGGCTGTCAGTCAGCCATTTTGAATCAGAATTGAAAAATAAAATGACGTGCATCAGGGACCTTAATGTATTATGTACATTGTATGTACCAAGTTTTAACAAAATACATCCATAAATGACCAAATCTGGTTCCAGAATGCCAGAAATGCTTGATTTTTTATGAATTGTTTGCACAAAAATGGCTGCAATTTGGCCATTTTGAATCAGATATTTCTGTATTTCTATAACATGATCTACAATGAATATATAAAATTTGAACATGATCAGTCAAAGCATGGCAGAGATATGGAACTAGAACTGCATTCATTAAAACAAAATGGCTGCCAGTTGGCCATTTTATATCAGATCTGAAAAACAAAATGACAAGCATCAAGGTCCCATAATGTCCAATGTATGCACCAAGGTTGAACAAACCTATCCATAAATGCTTGATTTTGATGATTTTTTAGCACAAAAATGACCACCATTCGGCCACCTTGATTCAGATCATGAAACAAATTGAGGTACATATGTATAATATTATGTATGATGTATGTGTAACCATTTTATTTTAGCATAGTTATGTCATTCTATTTTACCTTTGCATATGCTTCTTCATCAAGACCACCTCTTTTTTGTAGTTCAGTTTTTGTTACACCAGGACTGTAAAAAAATATGTTGAGATGGTCATGTTTAATCACTGATGTAGAATATTATATATGTATGTGTTATAGAAACTGTCAGTTAAGAAGAGCAGTTAATTATTCTGCAGAATAAAGTTTTGATATGATATTATAAATGTATAGATATATTCCAATCTATCATTAAAGCCATCATCCAATATGCACGGTTGCAATGGAGCGGACAATTCACGGCCGCCACTACAAACAGATGTGTGATCATGTTAGGAAATTTGATCGCAGTTAAATTGAATGATTTGATTGGGCGCACCAAGAAGCTAGATCCATCAATCAGCATTCTTGTAACACAACTTTCATCCATTTTAAAACTAAGTCAATAAATATTGCCATCTTATATCACATCATAGCTCAACTGTCTTCAACATGTGACATTCCCAGGGAAACGCATCAATATAATTTATTTCATGTTCCATTTACCATGGAAATGCACTAGAGGATGCGCTGAGTTGTATTTCACTAACAATAAATACAGACTTAAGTGGGAATTCTGCCAAGGTATATGGTGAAGCAATGGCTGAATAAATGAATCATGGCTGGTCACGGTGAAGATGCATTAAAGCGGTACAGTTATGCATATATTCTCTTTCCCTCACCAGTATTGATATTAATTGCTCAAATTTTTTCATAAACAATTGTTAATTAATTAATTAAGACAAGTCATTGTCAATGACACGTCCCCGTTCCGTTCATATTTGAGTGACATATACATTCAAAGCAGATCATGACCGAAATGCACCTGCATATGTACAACACATTGTACTAAATCTGAACAAAATCTATCCATGCATGACTGAGATCCGGTTCCGGAATTGTGAAAATACGTGATTTTGATGCATTTTAGGCCTTAAAATGGCCATCATTCAGCTATTGTTAAGCGGATCATGAAACAAATGCACATATCTATTTGTGATATAATGTACCATGTGTGTGTGAAGTTTGAACTTGATCAATCCAGACATGTCTCGGATACGGATCCAGAACTGAATTCTTTAACAAAATGGCTGCCATTCAGCCATTTCGAACTTGATCCGAAAAAAAAAAATGACGTGCATTATTATGTTTAATGTATGTACCAAATTTGAACGAAATCCGTCCATGCATAACTTAGATCCGGGTCCGGAATAGTGAAAATGTGCAATTTCAATGCATTTTCGGCCTTAAAGCGGCCCCCATTTGGCTATCGTTAATGAGATCATGAAACAAATGCACATACATATTTGTGACATGATGTACCTTGTGTGTGTGAAGTTTGA